GAGGAGGGGAGAGGGCGGCTGGGAGAGGAGCGAGGCTCTAGTCGCCGTCTGGCGAGCGGATGGGCGGCGGTGCGGCGGTGGAAGCGTCTCGGCAGTGGCGCGCCTCCGAGCGGGAAGCAAGAGTTGACAAGGTTGAAGGCGGCGGCGAGCTGCGGCGCGGCGCCATGCCAGGCCCAGGTGAGGGATGTGTTGGCAGTGGCGTTGCCGAGTCCCGAGGCGAGGCCGATGAGCAGGTAGAGCGACGCCACTTGGTGCAGCGCCGAGCAGGACGGCACCGCGCCGAGGCAGAGGAAGACGAGGGCGCTCACGCCGACGAGGACGGCGTGCGGCCGCAACCGGCTGAGCACCGGGCCGAGTAGGAGGGAGCCGAGAAAGTTGCCGAGGCCCTCGGCCGAATAGATGGAGCCGATGCTGTGCGGCGAGGCGGAGAGGTGGCGCATGAGCACAGGCCCGACCGGGCCGAGCACGTTGATCGAGAGGCCCGTCATCATGAGCACAGAGGAGTAGACGCCCGTCACGCCGAATCGGTGCCATGGCCACTCGGCGTTGAGCATGCCGCAGGGGCACCCACCCTCCCGTCAACGCAAGCGGCCTGCCCTTGTGTCAGCTGCCTCAGTGGTTCCCGCTGTTCCTCCGCGCCGGCGCTCGAGTCTGGCGCCACTAACCTAGCGCCCTCGACCTAGCCAAAAAAGATTTGCCGCCCCGGCCATACCGCGTTGGTGTCCAGTCCGAGCCTGGCTGTTCTTCACCTTTCTACCTACCACCTAGGGCCAGTCGCTAGGAAACGGCCGTGGGAAGCCCTGCGCTGATGGGGGCGGCACAACGGCTACAGCCAGCCAGGTCGCCTAGGCGTAGCCGTTTTGTGCCTAAGAACTTAAACACACACACGGCTACAGTGTACCGGTGTACTACCAAGGTTAAACTTCCGTTCCGCGTTCCGGAATTCCATTTTCCGCTCCGTTCCGGTCGGCCGTCCCTGGCATTCAGGTCCCCTCTCACGGGTCTACAGTCTCCGTACACGTATATCTAAATAATTTGTAGTACATACATATTTATTAGTATGATAGTACTCAAGCTCGTGTGTGAATGGAATGAATAGAGCATGAATAGTGGGCATCTCCCATATTCATGCTCTATTCAAAATACACGTCATAAAAACACGAGCGTATGTTCCACCCATACAGTGACACGCAACGTCATTTAGCACTGTCACCGTGTCAGCTCTCTGTGTCTCCGAGGGATGCTCTTTCCGAACGTGGACGCGATGTTGCCATGGTCGTCTCCATTGACCTAGGAATAGTGTCTGTCTGGCTGCCCGCAGGACTTTGCCCTAGTGCAGACTTTCAATTGATTGGGCCCCGAGTTTGAAAAAGGCGACGGACGCTTGCGTCCTAGCCTCCAACAACGCCTCCCCGGCGCAGAGGGTCCCCCGGAGGGATGCTCAACCGCCCCACGCCACGCCGCTTGCGGCGGTCCTATTCCCAGGTGGGGGCCACTTCTTATGACCGCGCAAGATATAAAGGGTGGCTAAGGGCTCTGCCCGCAAGGCGCCCGCGTCGCAGACGCGGTACCATTGACAAATCTGCAATATACCCCCACACGAACAAATAGCAAAATCCGAATACCGTGCAGAAACCATGTGATCTCGGCCGTGGGACGGGGGCAAGCCTTCAGCTGGTGCCAAGACATTCGTAAAATTGAAGCCAAGAACGCCCGCCAAATCCGTGCTACGGAAAGCTGATCGGCGCAACACCGCCGCTGGGGACGACACGCTGCGGAATCGCATCGAGCCCATGCACGGGCAAAGAAGGACGCTGCAGAAGCGAATGGAGAGGCAGCCGGTGTCTGCCGTCACAACGAGTCCCAGCGCTGGTTGGACATGCGCGTCGGCTCGCCCGAGGACTGCTGTCCCGACCCTCCCGTCGTGCCGCAGCCTCCGACGAGCTCTGCAACCGAGGAGAGTGAGGGTGCGCCTCCCCTCACTGCTGGCCTGGCTGCGCACCGCCCCACAAAGCACCCCCTCGAGCATCTCTACAAGTACAAGTGCAAGGGCGACCTTCTCCAAGTCGTCAACACGCCCGGCGGCTCCGGCAAGACTTTAGCCTTGGCCACCCTCCTTGCGGAGCAGGAGGAGATCCGCTCTCGGTCGGCAACGTGGCAGCTAGTCGAGAGACTCGGTAGTTGTGACCCCCCTCCTGAGTGAGGAGACAGGAGAGAGAGAGCTTTTGTGGTGTTGGTGTACGCAATAACGGGACAGGGTAGTCGTTCTCTCTAGCTCCCCTTCTAGCTCTTAGCATGAGCTGCGCCCTGTGTCCGACCCCTTTTGCGCAGCAACACCTTAAACTTTTAGGCTGCCCTCCTGATTCGGGTCGGTCGGAGCGTAGCGGAGTGGGCCCCGAGTTTGAAAAGGGCGACGGACGCTTGCGTCCTAGCCTCCAACAACGCCTCCCCGGCGCAGAGGGGCCCCCGGAGGGATGCTCAACCGCTCCACGCCACGCCGCTTGCGGCGGTCCTATTCCCAGCTCCGCTGAGGGCCCGTGCGTTATCAGCGATTCAGGCATGTACACGTATATGCTTGCGAGCGCGTCCGCGCGGCCCCTATCTTGGCTCGGCCGAGCACGCCTGCCAGCGCACCTTCGAGTACTTACGGCAACTACCCCCACCGCGGTCTTGAGCCCGCCGCGCGCAACCCGCATCCGCAGCAGGACTGCCTGCAACCGTCGTGCAGCCCCACTACCTTCGATTGTGGGGGCAGGGATTGAGGACCCCTGTGCTATTTGTCCCGAGATATGTGGTGTTACTCGACTAGAGCCGTACGTCGCGACTCGTCGAGGGGGGGGACGTCTGGCCGAAGGCTCATCCAGCCATATCTCGTGGTGTGTGCACTGCCCAGTGTGGTTTCTTTATCTACATCGATGTAGGTCACGAGGCCCCGCCGTGCAGGGCGCTACGGGCTCCGGCCGGACGTCCCCCATGTTGGACCAGGCACCGTGCGGGCCTGCCGTGCCTTGCTTGAGCCGGCAGGCCCACGCGGCAGTAATGGTGCGCCACCGAGGCTGTCGCTGGTCATCGGTCAGCGGTCAGCGGTCATCGGTCACCGGTCAAGCAGGTCATCGGGCGTCAGTGTCATTCAGGCGTTAGTGTCATTCTCGTCAACACAGGTATGGTAAATTTCCGGAAATTTCTCCTTCCGAACAAGGCTGTCATATTTCTCAAAATATTTCGGGAAATCTACATTTGCCCCAAGCGGCGGCGCCATCTCGCGCGGCGAGAGACGACGCTGCATCGGCGCCAAACCAAACGGTTGGTCGCGGCGCGGCCGCGGCAGCAAAAACATCGACGTTCGGTTTTCTGCTTCTCGTCTCGTCTCGTCTTGTCGCAGGCGCACACGCGCGCGATCCGCGTCGCACCGCGAGGACACGACCACCGGGATTCGAACCGGCGGCATAAGGGCGCCGGCTCGAACCTTGGAGCTAGCTGCTCGGGATCCCTGGGGGCGCGGAGGGTCGAGCCTTTTTCAGCCTGCCTGCCTCCCGGCCTCCGACCCCTCGAGCGAACCGCCAGCGCGTGGAGTGGGGTCTAGCGGTAAACAGCGGGCGGCCTCTGGCGGTAGCGGTAAAGCTAAAGGCGCCGAGAATTAATTAGTTCGGGGAGAAGCATGATTATCGCTTGTGAAATTCTTATCGGGTGGGCGAGGGCTAACACCACACTCCTCTCCTTAAAATCCCTGTGTGGTGGCGGCGTGCCGTCCTCCCATCCCTCCCTTGGCTTGCTTGTCTGTTTTGTTCCTTTCTTTCTTTCTTTCGTGAGGACGACGGCTTCTGAGGAAGCCGTCGCCCGTGCCTTGCCTGTCGCGTGAATCGTGTTGTCTTTCTTTCTTTCGAGACCCGGAAGTCGATCGCGTTGCCGCACTGCTCCTGTGTCCTTCTCTCGACTGGACGCGCTCAAAGATGCAATACTCGCAGGTCGAGATGATCGATACGGAGGACATCTCCGTGTCGCGCCGCCCCGCGTCTTCCCGCTCCTTCATCCGCGGAACGGGCGGGGTGGTCGGCGGCGTCATGCTCGGACTCGCCTTCATTGGCCTCAGCCTCGGCGGCGCACTGCCTCGGCTGCCATGGGCATTGGAGGAGCTCGATTCTTCAGAGTCATGCTGGCCAATTGTGGCTGATTCAGCGCCGCGCAGCCTGCGCCAGGGTCTTCGATGGTTGGCCAGAGATGAGCAGGCCGAGGACAGTGCGGCGGCAAAGAGGCAGAGGCCAAGCGGTGGTAGCGACCTTTGCAAGATCCGTGTGCCTCTAAAGGACTGGCCGGCCACTCTGGCGCAGTTGGTGGCCTCGTCTAGCTGGACGCAGCACCTCACATACGGGCTGCAGCAGGACGGGAGCGTGCTGACGCCTCAAGAGCGCAACTACTTTATCGGTGCTGGCTTTCCTCCACATCATATCCCTCTAGCACATGCATATCCATCCCTGTCCTATGCTCCTTTCAGGCATGAACATGTCCGAGTACTTCCCCTACGCCTTCCGCCACTACAGGCGGGATAATGGTTTTAGCGGTGGGCTAATACTCGTGGGCAGCGGCGTTGACGGCTATCCGGGACCTGCTCTCGCTACTGATGGCGACGTCCGGGAATATCTCGAGGCGAATGCCGTGCAAGTGCCTAGCCTCAAGGACATGACTCCTAACGCAAGGAAGAAACTCGTCGCAGCGAACGCAGCGAAAATGTCCGCCTCCCATGCAGGGAAGCCACCTCCGCCCCGTCTAGAGGTGGCTTGCCGCTCGAGTTCACTTGAGATCACTCGAGATTATAGTAGCATGTGCATGTCATGTCCGTTAGGCTATCCACTCTCGCGACGTGCTCGCGGCAGTGCCAATCACGTGGACGCATGGAATTCTTGCGGATGCCAACCGCGCTTATGGACCGAAGGCGGCGCTCTCTCGCCTCGTGCCACACACGGTGCCCCCCCCCGCCACACGCCATCACTCTCTGCCCCCCTCGGCCCCCCTCCCCGGCGCCCCACCCCACCTCCCTCCCCTCCCTTCCGCCCGCCGCCCGCCCGACACCAGCCCCCCATCCACCCCCTCTCACGGGGGCGTCGCAGGAAGCCAACAAAAAGAAGATTGAGGCCGGCGAGGCGAAGGCGATGCCCTCGAAGGCCGGCACACTACTCGTGCCTCACACGGCGTGCCCCACCCCGGCCACACGCCATCGCTCTCTGCCCCCCCTCGGCCCCCCTCCCCGGCGCCCCACCCCACCTCCCTCCCCTCCCTTCCGCCCGCAGCCCGCCCGACACCCGCCCCCCCATCCACCCCCTCTCACGGGGGCGTCGCAGGAAGCCAACATCGCGCGGATCGAGGCCGGCGAGGCGAAGGCGATGCCCTCGAAGGCGGGCAAGGTGAGCGCTTCCAACGTGGCGCGGAGGCAGAGGGAGCAGAACGCACTCGTCCGAGGCTCAGAGGCGTGCTCTACAGCTCGCCGCTAAATCCCACCACTGCCTAGACAGCTCGCCGCTAAATCCCACCACGCTAGAGCTCTCTCACACACCACTGCCGCCCGCCGCTCATATGTTCTAGCCTCACGGCTCCGGCCATCTCCCTCAGGCTGCCCTCGGACGCGAGGAGCTCGACGCCCGCGCGGCAGCCCTCGCCGAGCCTATCATCGCGAACCTCACCAGCGCGCTTGCTGACTGCCCGCCGCCGTGCTCATGGCTACACCCACCGAGAGTCGCCTTGTGCTGGTAGGCGACTCGTGTCGTGCTCGAGCATGGACGATTGCAAAATCTGGGCACCTCCGAGGTCTGCCTGCAGATCGGTCACGTGCTCTGACTGCGGTGCTCTAGATACCACCTGCGGGTGCGCCCTAGGTCTCTCGAGCGCTACGCGCGCAGAACTCCGTGTGCTTAAACAGCGAGACTGGTCGACCCTTCACCACTCCACAGCTTCGCAAGCTCGAGGCGGCCGGGCACCTCAAGTTCTTCGCGGTCCCCTCTCCGGATGCGTCTCCGTACGTGTGCGACGAGGCGGAGAGGCGCACACGCACACGGCACAACGGCACACGCACACGGCTCACGCACACGGCACACGCACACGGCACACGCACACGGCACACGCACACGGCACACGCACACGGCACACGCACACGGCACACGCACACGGCACACGCACACGGCACACGCACACGGCACACGCACACGGCACACGCACACGGCACACGCACACGGCACACGCACACGGCACACGCACACGGCACACGCACACGGCACCGACGCACACGGCACACGCACACGGCACCGACGCACACGGCACACGCACACGGCACACGCACACGGCACACGCACACGGCACACGCACACGGCACACGCACACGGCACACGCACACGGCACACGCACACGGCACACGCACACGGCACACGCACACGGCACACGCACACGGCACACGCACACGGCACACGCACACGGCACACGCACACGGCACACGCACACGGCACACGCACACGGCACACGCACACGGCACACGCACACGGCACACGCACACGGCACACGCACACGGCACACGCACACGGCACACGCACACGGCACACGCCGGCTCACGCACATCTGTCTGGCACTTCGTAGGCTCGCTCAGCTCGAGTGTCTGCGGCAGTTTCCCGCGGAGTCCACCATCCGCACCGTCGCAGCTGGGACCGTGGCGCGAGGCGACGGGTTGGTTGATAAGGGAGGATACTACCTGTTCTACTGGCTGCTCAACGGAAACGCGCCCAACGTGCTGCGCGCGAAGGCTAGTGCTAGTGCACATTAGAATACTGCAAGTGCTGGTAGAAGGACATCTTCGCGCCTCGCTCCGCACCCGTCGCAGGTGACCGCCGCCGGCGTCTACACGGCGGAGGAGCGCGCCGCGGCACTGGCCTCCTACACCCCTCGCGGGCCCACCGCCGCCACCGTTGCCGCTTCCGAATCCGAGATGGCTGACGTAAAGCTGCAGCGCAACGGGGCGTTTTGGCACTCCAGCGTGGCCGGTAGCATCTGGACGCGCGAGTATGGGCTGGTCTCGCAGGTTTCTGCCTCCCCGGCCTGGTTGCAGCCCTCTCTGTCTCTTGCTCTCCCCTCACCTTGAGACCCATGATGATAGGTGACCAAGCCTGACGGCGTCTGGTGAGTGGGCCCCGCAGAGCCGCGAGTGCCGTTCATCCTTCCCCCGTCTCGAAATTTGCCGGCCTGCACGCTAGGGTCCGTTACGTCATGGACTTTGGCGCCGGCGAGGAAGGAGCGCGAGCAGCGCAAACTGCGCACGCGCAGATGGTCAAGGGCAAACTATCGGCAGCAAAGACGCGGCAGCGAGGGGCTCCGTACGTACGCGTCGCCGAGTATGTGGCGTGTTCGGCTCACTTTCGCGCGTCGGGTTCCCGTGCGCCTCCCGTTACTCACATGCACGTGTGGTCCTCATTCATAGGCGCCATCCACAGACACGCCAGCGGCGGAGGTGAACGCGTGGCGGCAGCGCGAGGCGCGGGCCTGCTTCGATTTTAGAACCCCCCCCCCCCCCCCCCCCACGCACACATGCACATGCTACAAAAAGCCATGTTTGCGCAACCCTAGATGGACTACTACGAGGCCAAGTATGAGGACGAGCAGGACGAGCAGATGGCGTACGACGAGGAGATGCTCGACGAGCTCGAGGAGGCGCGGATGGCGGCAGTGGCTGCGGGCCAGCCCATCGCGGCGGACGCAACTGTTGGGGCGCGCGTCACCGTAGTGTACGACGAGGAGAGCGAGGAGTGGGGCACAGTCCAGAAGCCCGCCGAGGGGGTCGTCACCGAGGTCTCGGCGACGGCAATGCGGGTGCGCTTTGACGCAGACGGAGAGACCCTGTGGGTCAGCGAGCGCGAGGGCGACGAGTGGTATTATTTGGCGTCGTAGTCTCTTGCCGTAGTGCGGAGGCTGGCCAGGTGCCACACCGCTAGAGGTAGGGCCGGTGGCTCTTTTCTCCGTCTCCTTTTGTGTGTACGCGCGAACAGCGCAGTTGCTGGTGCTATCGGCGAGACGTTGTCGTGCAAGAGAGATAATGCGCCCTCGACAGATACCACCATTCGACGCTCGACGCGGCCACCAGCACCACGACTCCAACAATGCCTTGAGCATGCTCCCGCTGGGAAGCAGCAGCAGCGTGACGGGGTGAAGTCACGACTTCACTCAGGTCAAAGGCGCTCTCAGGTCAAAAGGCGCAATCTGCGGAAGAGAACGTGGAGAATTACCTGCTCTGGCCCACTCGCAACTGTCGCCGACGTCCGGGCTCGACAGGCGGCAGGCGGTCTGATCGAAGCGCGCAACTCACTGCACGTGTGGGTGCATGACGCGCGTCGAGCCGATGGCCTCTGTGGGCGTCGAGGCGACATGTGACACCGGCACGGTCGTTCCCGGCCTCCCGCTGCGGTCCGGCCGCACTGCCTCTTCTTTCGGTGGATGCCTTGCGCCGCCTCGATGCGGTCCAGCCGCCAACCACAAGTGGAGAACAGCGATTTCGTATTCGCAAAGTAGCGCTTGGTTCGCCGGCTGCACTCCGAGGCCACCACTTTTTCTCTGGTAGGACGGGACACACAGAAGACTCACTGCTTGGCCGCCAGCCAACCGCGTGACTCACTGGGACAGACCTTTGTCGCCTTCGGAAATGTGTTCACGTCACGGGCCCCGCCTCATGAGAATTTCACTCGCAAAGAGCGAGTTGCCCCCAGAAGAAAATACCTTTTCCTCACTCCCCCCCCCCCCCCCCTGGGCAAGATGTTGGACTCGCAAGAAGAATGGGCGATAACCCGCTCGGTGAGCCCTACTTCCAGCCCTTAGCATGGCAGGGTCCCTAGTCATCTGAGTCGCTCTTCCTCGCTGGGCGCCCGCGCGTTATTCCGTGTTGGTGCCGCGGTGGACGCGACTAAGACCCCGGCGCGCGGGTCCCAGTCGACACTCCTATAAGCATGGACAACTCCGCCTTCCGGAACCTGGTCAAGGAGGGCGGCGCCACGCCGGCGCCCAAGTCGGCGGCCAACTCCGAGGAGGCGAAAGCGGCCAAGGCGGCCAAGGCGGCTGCGCGCAAGGCGGCGTATGACAAGCGGATGGAGCTGCAGGCCAAGCGGCAGGAGAAGCTGGCGGAGGAGTCCAAGTACGTGGACCGGGCATCGCTGCGCCGCAAGGAGCTCGCGAAGTCGGGCCACAAGGATGAGGCGCCGCCACTCGCCGGCATCGAGCCGCTGCTCGCGGCGGCAGAGGGGAGGCCGGAGCACCCGGTGGCCGAGGTGCCCGTCGCGCCGACCTTTGCGCAGGCGGGCGCGCGGGAGGACCTGTCGCAGCAGCAGCACCGCCTGAGCATCGACCAGTCCAAGTTCCTCGGCGGCGACATCGAGCACACCCACCTCGTCAAGGGCCTCGACTTTGCGCTCCTCCAAAAGCGGCGCGCAGAGCTCGCCGTCGCATCGGCGGCGGCAGCGGGCGGCGGCGGCGAGGCGGCCGGCAGACCGGGACGGGCGGCGGGCAGCACGCTCCCCTCGGCCGGCAAGGCGTCCGGCGGCGGCGGCGCAAAGGCCGCGCGGCCCGTGGCGGCGGCGGCGGCGGCGGCGGCGGCGGCTGAGCCGCCGGCAGCGCCGGAGAGCGAGATGGCGCGGGCCGTGCTGGAGCTGTCGCTGTCGGGGGCGCCGCCGGCGCGGCCGAACCGCTCTCTCACCTCCGGCCGGCTGCTCTACGTCTACTCCCTCGACGCGCTCGCCGCCGACACGCCAAACAGCCTGGTGCGCGCCGAGGATGACCTGACGATCCCGCGGAGGCGCGAGAAGGTGCTGCAGGCGGCGACGTCGGCCGGGCTGCTCTCCAAGCTGTCCAAGGTGCTGGCGTACTGCGCCCGCCCCTCGGGCGAGCGCGCGCGCAAGTCGAAGAAGGAGAAGGACCCGCTCGGCCTCCACCTCGCCGGATCGCTCTCGATGACGCCCCTACCGCTGCCCTCAAAGGCGGAGGAGGGGGGGCTGCGCCCGGCCGAGGCGCCCCTGATGGGGCTGCGGCCGGCGGAGGCGCCAAGCATGGGCGGCGCGGGGCGCAGGCCCTCGCGCTGGGGACCGGAGGCGGAGGCGGAGGCGCCGCCATCGCAGCAGCAGCGGCAGCAGCAAAAGCTTGCGGCGCCTGCACCCGCGCCGGCTGCGCGCGCCGAGGACGTGGACGACATCTTCGGCGACGGCGTCGGCTCAGACTACGTGTGCGAGCCCAACAAGCGGCAGGCGGTCGAGGCGGAGCGCGAGCGGCGGCTCGCGGCGCCGTCGTCAGCGTTTTTGGACGAGGTGGAGCAGATGGAGGAGGCGGGAGGCGAGCTGGGCGCGGGCGTGCCGTTGCCGCTGGAGGAGGAGGAGGAGGAGGAGGCCGGGGGCGGCGGCGCGTCCTCCCTGCTCGAGAGCGTCTTGGCGCGCAGCCGCGCCGCGTGCGCTGCATCGACAGCCTCCGCCCCTGCCGACGCGTCGGACCCGAAAAAGGGCAAGGGCAAGAGCAAAGAGGCTAAGCCGAAGGGGATGGCGATGAGCGGCGGGGGCGACGACGACGCGTACGGCGAGTACTTTCCGGACACGCTGGGCCGGGTCAACGTCACCGGGTACGAGCTTGGTCCCGACTCGGACGATGAGGCTGGCATCGTGCGTGGCAAAAAGGAGGAGGAGGAGCCGGGCCCTAGAAGCGGAATTGCGTGTTCTTGTTCCCCAACCAGCGCTCGAGAGGACACGGATTCTATTCAGCCGTATTCAGCCGTATTCAGCCGTATTCGCCTCCCTCGTAGTCACGCGGTGCTCTGAATACACTGCACAATACCGTATCCCCGCCCTGAGGTTGGCGTATTCATCACGTAGGAGCCGGACGCCGACGCGGGCGGCAAGGGCGGCAAGGGCGGCAAGCGGGGCCGCCACGACAAGGAGAAGATGGAGGCGCAAAAGGCGGAGGCCCGGATGGACCGCGAGCTGGTGCAGATCGAGAAGCTGATGGAGGAGCGCGCAGCGAAAAAATCGCGGGGCGAGTCGCTTGCCCTTGGCAACAAGCCCAAGGGTGGCGGTCGGGACCGCGACCGGGCTGCGGCCAACGAGCAAAACGAGATGTTTTGAGCGTGTAGTAGCAGTTTGGGGGGTGCGTCGATCTCATCATATTTTTCTCATCGCTGGGCGGACTGCATATGCCGGCGCGCCGCCCGCCGCGCGCTCGCCGGGCTCGGCCCGCCCCCCGGCCTCTCAGCTGTGGACTCTGCCCGCTCGCGACCTCCACGGACCACGGGCCCCCCGGGAACCAGGTGGTGCGCGCTTGGGCTTTAACCTTCAGCTTAAAGCGTGCAGAGGATTCGCCCGCTCATGAGCGCACCGCTCGACGTACCACCATGCCCCCATCGACGTGAAGAGTTCTGCCGCGTGCGTGAGGTGTGCCTCCCTCTCCTTGGGCTCGCGCTTGTGGGTGCCCAGGCAAAAAGCAGCCAGTGCCTCCTCGTAGGGCATGTTTAGCTTCTTGGCCATGACAGCACACTCATGCCACTCAGCCTCGGCCCGCGCGGTGCTGCCAAGCAGCCACTTGAGCCAAGCCGCAAAGGCCTTTGCGCGGGGAGCCGCGCATGCGAACTTGCCGCCTGTCTGAACGAGCGCCGACACCGCCAGCGCCGCGGCCCTCTTGACGGACGAGTACTCGTCAGGCGGGAGACATTCGCCCGGCCTGATGCCGTCCGCACGCTGCTCGTCCCACAAGATCAAGTACAGCTCAGCAAGCGCGGAGTGGCCAAGCAGGGTGGAGTACTCGTGCCCACCTCCGACGCTCAGGCCCTCGACGTCCGACTTTGAACCCGACATGAACGAGCGACAAGCCTCACCTGCTGCCAGAGCGCCTGCCCTGTCGCCGGAGCGCAGAAAAGCGAGGGCAAGCGCGGCGGTTGGCGGATCCTCGATCGTCTTCAGCGACGCCACCACTTCCGGCAAGCTGAGAGGTGCTGGGCTGTCAGCGTCGGAGGTGTCCCTTCCGCCGACGTCTCTGGGCAGCTGCATCATCTCATTGATTGCGCTGGCTGCTCGCACCGTCGCCACCATTGGGTCGTCACCGTGCTCGATGGCCGAAAGCTCAGCGTCACGGAAGAGCTTCCGCGACGAGTCGAACTGGCCGCACAGGTGCTTGACCATCGGAGGATGATCTCGTCGAGCAACAAGCAACGAACGTAGGCTGAGAGTGAAGGACGTTGGTTAGCGGCAGCGTCGATGCTTGTGCCCTGCCGAGAGCGCCGAGCGGCTGTTGGACGGCCGCGTAAGCTTGCACCCTCTAACGGCAATTAACTCTAGCACCACCTGTACCGCTGCTCTCGGCGAGGCAGCAGGCGGCGGCCGCTGCTCCGGCGACCGCTGCTCCATTCCCAGCGCCGTGTCTCCGCCTCTCCCCATCAACGTCGGCGCGATTAACGGCTGCTCCGGCTGCATCGATGCGTGGCAACACCAACCTGCGGTCAGCTACAACTACCAACCAACCTCTGAAATGGTGCCACAACTTCCCTCCCTTCTTGCCCGGCATAGCAAAACCAAGCGGCCGAGTGTACTAGCTGGCAACCGCCCGATTTTTATAATCCTATACTATTATACTACCAGTACACTAGCAGCTCTCAAAGGTTGGGAGGCTGGGGTTCTTTCACACCCCGGTTTCACATTTGTCTGTTCGCCCAAAGTTGTCCGGCCACCCGGCGTCTTACTGCGCCTCACCACGTTTCCCATCGGGTTGATGCGACCGCGTTGATGCAGCCGGCACTCGAGGTGTCAACCGACATTAATGCGCTGCCTGCTGACCTGCTGCTGCTCCTTCTAGGGAGGCTTGGGATGCGCCAACTGGTAATTGCATCGCGCGCGCGGCAGCGCGCGAATGCGAAAATTCCAGCGGCGAGCAGTTCGGGCTTCGGCGTGTGGCCTCTCGGGCCATAACACCGTGGATCCGGGACGGCTCTCTCATAGCAGCCCATAACATGTTATGGGCTGCTATGCCCCGAGAGCCATAACACCATAACAATAACTGTGCGCAGGGGACAACAGCTGCTGCCTCCTTTGCTGCCTCCTCTGCTCGCACACGCTCTGTAAAATCTTCATCCTCAGCATTAGCATCAGCATCTGCTGCATCCTCCATCTCCTTTGCCTCAGCCTTTGCCTTCCCCGCATTCGGCCCCGCGCGCACGCTATTTCTATTGTCGGATATGTGAGCCACACGTGCGCAGAGGCACGATGACACAACCCACAGGAATAAATACTTGTGTCGCTAATGTTCGAACAAGCGGTCGTGTCGTGCACCTCGGGTGTTGGGGAGGTCGTTGGAGCCGCTCAGGACCATTTTGGGGGCGCAATTCGCCTCGTTTCCCTTGAACACGCGGTTTCGCCCCCTCGGGAGCGCCCACATAATCGCGCGCCCCCCCCTGTGGCGACGGTCTCGCGCACCTGCGCCAGACCCCACCGCACTAGCTACATAGATCGTCAGCAGTAGGCGTGCTCAGAGCCCGGATTTGGGCCCATTCGCCAGAGGGCTCGAGAATGGCGCCCGGCAACGTGCAGCTGCAGGCCAGAGGGCGTGAGGTGAGGCCGAATCCGCAGTCGCACGAGCACCGCTGCCCCCAGCGATGATCATGCATGGAGTGGCACGGCGGATAGGCCCGCCTGCGAGCGTGGAAGACAGTCGCGGGGCGTGAGGTCTCAATGTATCGCAGGCTAGGACCGGAGACGGCGGCGCGGGAGAGGGAGGGAAGCGTGAGCGGCGGGCGATGAGAGTGATTTCCCCGATCTCGCTAAAAATGGCCTAGTCCCCTCACGGGGGGCCGGGCGAGCACGCACCTCGCGTCTGGGCGCGAGTCGACGAGTGGTCGCCGAGAGATCGCCGAACCACGTTTCGAGTGCGCGCGCACACAGCACAGCTGCGGGTTGTAACTCGACTGCCGATCGCGCGTGCGGGATCTGAATGGAGCTCGCTGGCGCCAGTGCACGGTGGCAGGGACTGGAGGCTCGGCCGAAGGGGAAGAGCAGTCCTCAATCGTCACGTAGAGGTCGCTGGGCTGGATCCATCGAACTGCCACACACCTGGAGCGGAGGCACATCAGGTCTTGCGGCACGCTCTCCGACAGATGCATGCCTTTTGAGCAATTCCACGCGCCTCCACCGTCGCGTAGTACGCCAGCGGCACGCCGGTACGCCTACGAGTCGTGCGCGCTCGGCAGTAATCGGCGTTGAGACTGCCTAGCGCGCACATCTAGAGCGCCGAGTTGCCTTGCCGCGGGGTAACCGGCTCAAAGAGGTGGGGTTCGAGCGGCGCCTGAGCGCGTGGGAATGCGTAGTGGGCTTGGAATGAGACGCCTGGCGTACATCGGGCTCGGACGGTGTCTGTTGTGAGCTCACCGCTCGACGCACAAACCAGGCGCTTTAGGCGCCCGCCAACTGGCCTCACGGTCGAGAGAGCGGAACGCGGCTCGCCGAACAGCAATACACGTGGCCGCACTACTGTAGAGGTACGAACAGGTATGCAGATCGCGGCGCGCCGACTACTGGCACGGCGTCAGAGCCAAATTGACCAAGGGCTCTGCTGGCCTGTGCCGACTCGCCGACCCTTCGGGCTCACACCACGGCTGGCCATCGCGTGAACAGGACGTGCCCTTCCGTTTTAAGGCAGTTCAATACCTTCCCCACGGGACACCAGGTCGATATCCGGCTAAACCACACGACCCCGAGAAACGCATAAGCCGCCCCGGCGCCGCCTCCGATTCCGGCCGTATCGGCCTTTCGCTGGGGCGGCTTATGCGTTTCTCGCCAAAATGGTAAAGATGTCGAGCCAAAGCTGTCGACGCCGAGTTCGGCACCCGATTCGCCTTAAAACTGAAGGAGGGGGCGCGGCTCGGAGATGGCAAGGCACGGCGAGTGCAAACGTGCGGCTATTATGACGCTTTTAGGGGCTCCAAAACCTCCTTTTCAGTGGTAAGCGCCACCTGGCACCTCGCGCCGTGCCCCCCAGCCGCGTGTGCGATCGCCCACGGATCCGGGGCGGGGGATGGGAGCCCGAAACGTCCACACAAGTATGCTCGGAGGCTCGTCAGAATGGTTTTTCAAGCGTTGTGTCATCGTGCAGAGGTGAGAGGAGCAGCCAGAGGACACGGCTCTGCCGACATTGCACACACGTAACCGGCACATGACGTGCAGAATATTTGACTGTAGTTCCGCGCAGAATAATTGAATCACGGGAGCATATGTGGAGGCTTCGGCGACCCCTCCCCATCCGCCTGCCGCCGCGTGGGCTGCTGGTACCAGCTCGGCGAGGCGCAGTCGGATGGAGCCGACGAGAACCTGCGTGCAGGAGGGGCCGACACGACGTAGCGGTGCGCCTCGAGCGCCTCCGACTCCGCGCCCGGATGCTCGGCATGTAGCTGCTCGAGCACCCTGCCCCACCGCGCCGCCATGTCTGAGATCGAGCTCTGCCGCCCCGTGATGTCGACGGCGAAACGGCGCAGCATCTGGGCGTGCTCCTGCAGCGCGTCGCTTATCGAAGGCTGGTCCTCGCCGGGGGCGACCGACCACAGCGTACCAAACACGGAGTCTGCGCCGCCGGCCTCGTCGCAGATCGCGGGGTCTGCGGCCGCACTGCGCGTGCCCGGCCCGAACTCCGCGGCTGGCAATCCAGCAAGCGGGTCCGATCGGGGCTTCTCCTTGCTGCACGCGCGCTCCCTCGTCGAGCGGCTGCTGGCCTGTGCCGCCCGCACCGTCACCTGGTCGAAGTTGGCGCCCGACCAGCCGCCGGCGAGCCAGAGCCGCGACATGACGCGCAACCGGCGCGTGTTGAGCGGCTCCTGCAGCAGCGCCATCTGCTGCAGCCGGATCAGCAAGTGTGGGTGCTGCGTGGAGAGGTGGCGGATCGCGGTGCGGTCGATGGCGAGGACCCAGGAGCGCTCATCGGCGCAGACGGTGTAGGAGCAAGGCGCTCGGGTAAGCAGGGAAGCGGCTCCCACCAGCCCTCCGTGCTGCCCCGTCAGGAGCGAAGGGATGGCGCCCGCGACATGGCCAACCTCCACCTCCACGAGCACCGACCCGTGGCCGGGGGCGACGAGGAAGAGCGCCTCGCTCACCTCGCCTTGCTCGCACAGCACCTCGTCCTCGCCGTAGACGCGCCATGAACCAGACGCCACGAGCAGCGCCGCGTCCGCCTCTGCGGTGCGGCTCAGATGGAGAAGAGGCGCGAGGACGGCCGAAGGCGGCGGCGGGTCAGGCGCAACCGCCCCAGCCGCTACTACCGCTGCGCCCAGCTCGCCGCCCTCGTCAAAGCTCGCCGCTGCGTCAGTTCGCGTGTCTGCAGCGCCCGCCTCCGCCTGCCCCTCTGGCCGCGACGGCCGTGCGGTCCTCCAAAGATCGTCGCCCGAGCGCGCGCCGCGCGTCCCGTCGAGCTGCTGGCAGCTGACACCTGGGCCAGGGGGCAAGCGAGCGGGTAGTCAGGAGCAAGAGGCCGGGCGAGGAGGTCGAGTGCGGGGCAGCCCCACCTCTGGGCATGCCAAGCGAGCGATCGGCGCCGCCGTCGGCGCGCCCAAATGCGGCGGCGAGCAACTGACTTGGGTACGACACGCCCGGCAAGCTCTCTGTCTTGCTTGCTGACGGTAGACGGCTGCCGCCGAAGATGGCAGTGATAGGCGCCGAGCCGCGCCGCTCGAGAGGGTGCTCACAGCTAGGCGAGGACTGTGGCTGCTGCTGCTGCTGCTGCTGCTGCTGTGATGGCGGCAAAGACAGCACCGAAGGCTGTTTCTGTTGTTGCCGCTGCTGCTGCTGCTGCTGTGCGGTGGTGCGCGGCGTTCCAGTGGTGCGGCGCTGCTGCGCTGGCACAAACATGGCGTGGCCAGACCGCTCGCGCTTTGGTACGTAGGACGTGGGCCGCTCGCCGTCCTGCTTCGCCTCGTCGTGGCCGGAGTGGAGCGGTCGGTCGGCCTCGTCGGAGCTCTCCGGTGGGAGGAGCTCCCCGACGGCGGTCTCGACTCCGCCAGACGAGCTGGACGAGCTGGACGAGTTGGACGGCGGCTGCTCTGCGAGCATCTCCTCGAGGCTGGCGGGGGGCGGCCACCTCGCCCTCGCGTGGACATCCGCGGCGTTCTCGGCTGCCTCTCGGCCGGCGCCCGTGGAGGCCGCCCCAGGGATCGAGACCACGATTGTGGTCGGGGCGGCCACCTGGTCCCCGGGAGGAGAAGGCCCGAACGCAGCCTCCCCTGGCTCGAGGCTGCGGGCCGGTGGGATGGTCAGTGGCGGCGGGAGCGCCGACAGCGCCGGCGACACGGCCGCGGTGAATGTAGAGAGCGGCGAGGCGGCAATCGTGGGCAGGTGGGAGCGAGTCTCCTGCCGCTCGTCAGGCGGCGCCACCGGGCCGGAATGCGGACCCGTCTTCGGAGGTGCAGCTGGCGCCTCGTGGGCGTGCGTCGCAGAGGCCGCGCGGGGCCTGAGCGAGCCGTTGAGCGTGCCGCTTGCGGTCTCAGAAGGCTGCAGCGCCCTGGCGTCGCGGTCCGGGGGCCCCTCGTGCTCCCTCGGGTGCGAGGCTTCGACTCCCCCGCCAGAGCGAAGCGGGGGGAGGGGGCTGCTGCCTCCCTGCCACGCCTGCTGCCGCGGGGAGCTCGGCGACGGCCCGTCGGTCGTCCCGTCCCACTGCGCGAGGATCGAGTCCTCGCAATACTCGATGGCGTCGGGGATGCTGCCGAAGACTCGAAGGTCCGCGTCGCGGCCGTGCGCCTCGAGAAGGTGCAGGTCGTTTGGGCCGATGCAGGCGATGACCAGCTGCATGCCGTGCTGCTGGCACAAGCGCCGAAACTTGCACAGCAGCGCCGCAGCGGTCTCGTTGATGCCCTGCACGTGCGAGAAGTCAAGGACGAGGAAAGCAGGGTGGCGGGGTGGCCGAGAGTGGCTCCGGTGAGCGCGCCCGCCGCCGCCATCATAGCCATAGCCGCCGCCGTCGCCGCCGCCGCTGGCGCCGCCGCTGCCCGCGGCGCGCGCCTTGGTCGAACGACGCGCCTATATAGAGCAAGAGGCGTGGAGAGGCCGCAGGAGAGGAGGGCTGGGCGGAGCGGCAAGCGCGGAGCCTGCTGCCGGTCGGCGGCCCCCTCGGGCGGCACGACGACGCGCTGCAGGTACTTGACGAGCTTGACGGCCGGCCCCTCGAAGAGGTAGCCTACGGAAGGGGCGCCGTGACAGTGCGGCGGGGTGTCCGGGCGCAGGGCGGCTCGCCGTCGAGAGGGCACACCCTCGAGGCCGAGGATGTGGACCCGCTCGCCCTGCGCGCGCAAGTGGGCCGACTCGCCGACGGAGCGGCGGCGGATGGACGCCTGCGACGCCATCGAGACGTGGTACTTGAGGACGGAGAGGCGCGAGAAGCGGCCGACGAGCAGCAGAGCGGCGACGAGGATCCCGCCGAAGACGGTCGAGATCATGTCGTACACGAGCGAGTAGGCCGTCATCGCGAGGACGAGGGCGTGCGACTGGCGCGTCATGCGCACGCGCGGGACGACCCACAGCCACTCGATGAGCATCACCACGCCTGCGGGGCGAAGGGAGTAGTGCAGGGGTGGAGAGACGCGACTCACCGCCGAGCGCCTGGCTACTCCTCTCGGCCCGCTCTCGGCTGTGTGTCGCCAATGGACATGAGCACGCCGCCCAGCAGGAAGCGCGGCAGCAGGTTGGTGAGCGGGAAGGCGGTGAGCCTGTTGTACAGCGAGAGGGGCGTGAGGAGGGCGCCGCAACCCGCCCGGCCGGGCAGCGGGTGTGAGGGCCAGAGCAGCAGCAGCAGCAGCGCCTGGCAGACGCCGCTCGTGCGCGCGGAGCCAACCTCTTGGTTGAGTGCGACGAGGCCGGGCGAGTGCGAGCCGATGAGCCCGCCCGTGCCGCCGACGAGGAGGGTGACGAGGCCGGTGAGGCGCAGCTCTCTGTCTGGGTCGAGGTGCGCCTGCAGGGAGGACGCGGCGGGGCGTGCGGGCGAGTAGAGAGCCGTGCATCGCACGCCCGCGCATCGCGGGAACAAGAGAGCCGCGGATGCGGCGGACACGGCTGGGAGGAGTACAGCGGGCTACGTGTCGTCTCGAGAGCTTGCCAGAGGCCACTTGCGAGAGGTCACGGGCGTTGCGTTCTCCCGAGTCTGCGGCCGGCGCGCCTCAGTCGCCGAGTCGATGGCGGAGATGCGGAGCGCGAGCGAGATGGTCGAGATTGTGACTGTGCCGAAGACCTCCCCGGACTGCGGCACGAGCGCCTCCCACGTGATGCGCGTCGGGTCGAGCTCCCTCCACAGGCCGAGAGGCCCGACCGGGTCGGAGACGTCAAACAGGAAGCCGCTCTCCCGCGCGAGCGGAGGGGCGGCGCCCGGTCGGCGCGCCGAGGGACGCTTCCCGGCCGCCGGGCAGCCGGCAGGTCGAGAGAGACGACGACGAGACAGAGAGAGAGAGAGAGAGAGAGAGAGAGAGAGAGAGAGAGAGAGAGAGAGAGAGAGAGAGTGGAGGGTGGGGCTCCTCTCGCCTCTCTCCCCACTACTCTCTCGCCCCTCGAGCTGCTCCTCTCTGCCTCTGCTCCC